AAGAACTGTAGAGGCAGACATAGAAATTGTGCAACCTACACCAGAGAGAAAAGATAAGTGTTCAGTACAATTTACCTTACTGTAGATTCACTTAGAAACTAGCTAGAAACTAGCTTAGAAACTGGTTCTGGTAGAGATGTGACATTTGGTCACGGTGAAGAAATGAGAATTAGGAGATGCAACATAAGTACCTGTGTTCTTGATAACTAATCTCTTCCTGTCTCTACTCCTAACTTACAGCCTTTCTTAAATGTCTTCCAGAATATGACTTCCATAAAGTAACATAACTAGGACTTGAACAAAGATTTACTGCAGAAACAAAGAAGTCATAGACAGCCAACTTCAAAATTATTATTTCTTATTGGGAAGTATAGAAATAATAGTTGGTAGCCCAGGTGATAAGAGCAGTCCTCCATCCTGTCACATAGTCCATGATTTAATCATCTTGCTTATTCCTCAGAAGACTCCCAGGTTTCAGTATCTGAAAACTAAAGTGAAGTCATCAGAATCTGTTGAGCAGAGTTCACAGTTCATCCTCTTTTGACAAGCCTGGTGATAGTTCAGGCTGCCATGCAGTGTCAGTTGCTTTGATGACCTTCCCAAATTGATATCACCAGAGGGTCTGGTCCCCTATCTTGCTCCAGTGTTTAGGGAGGGAGCCTCTGGGAGCTCAGCAGCTTGAGTGGTCAGGGAATGAAAGGGGTCGATCCTGATCGGTGGCTGTCCCTTCTCACTGTCAAGATTAGAAAGTTCTCCCTGCTCAGAAATGGCAGTACTCTCCTCATGGCTCCCTTTTCTTCAGTACTTTAAACTAAGCGGCCTATGGCTTCCCTGGGCTGAGCAGCCACGTGCACCAGGACGCTCTGAGGATCAGCAGTCTTTGCTTGCCTGGCAGCTCCTCAGACACCAGAGCCACTAAAACAGGGGTTCACCGGCTTAGGAGGTTTCTGATAAGCCATAAACCCAAGAGGTGCTGCTGATCTTAACTCAGTCACGGCTCTGAAATGACCCTATATTTCCAAAAGAAATGGGAAAAGTATCTTGTTGCTATTGTTTTTTTTTAATGCTCCATAAGTATTCTTTGCCCCTACACTGTGTAAATTACCCATGGAAGAGTCTCCATTGGTGACAAAACAACAGTTAAAAAAAAAAACTAGGACAACACGTAGCAAACCTTGTCTGGCTTCTGTAAGTAACAGGTGCGAGCAGAACTGGTATCAAAACCACCCACACAAAACCCTTGATTTAATTGTGGTGCTTGCACCTTCTGAATGAGTGAAAGCTCACTGCTCTAGAGACAGACTTGCATGTTTTGTACTTGGGTCTATGTAAAAAAGTACATCGTATACCAGAAAAAGCAACATTGCCAGCTGTGTATTAATGTGAGATTGTGTAAAATAGGAGTAGGAAAATTCTCTCTACTTTCCATCTAAACACTTTCTATCTTTGTCTCTAAAATTTCTTTCAAGTTAGCTGATGACGCACAGCATTTTTCACCCTTCTTTGTATTGAAAAGTTCAATGAATGGTTTTCAGCATGGCACTTTTGTAAAAATATTCAGGTCTCAGGGTTCTTTATCCTTGCAGTAATGTTACTGCCTAGGTTATGAATTAATCTAGTTCCTGTCATGATCCCCGCAACAGTGTCTCATGCTAAATCCTACACAAACTAAAAGGCAAGGCAGCTGCAGTAGGCCCAGGTCCTTCATGCCTGCTCGCTAAAAGGGACAAAGTTAGGACTGTGCATGTATAAACCTCAGAGGAGTCTGATGAGCAGAACGGACTGAAGGAGATGCAGCTCTTTCTTACACTACTGACGGTGTCACTGAGCCCCTACCCATGTAGCAGGAGGAAAGCCAAGGAAAAGTCCTGACGAGCCTCCTATGTAGGCCGAAATCTATTGTTGAATGCTGTGAAATCCCTTTTTTTCAATCTTCCTATGATTCCACCAAAAGAAGAAAAAGTAGACAAGAGTCTTGTCAAGCCTTCCTTCCTGAGGGATAAAGCTTCATCCTAAACCTTAGGTCTATTGCCAAAAGGACCCATTTCTGCATCACACAGAAGAGCTGCCGTCACACACAGTTTGAAGCTGTCACCACACTGATTTGCATTCACTCAAGGGAGTGAATATTCTGAAACTCCTGCAGTTTGCTTGCAAGACAAATGATTCCATGCTGAGGACAGGGCAGAAAAACATATAGATATCAACCAGAAAAAAAAGAAAAAAAAAAAGTCATTGAGACTCCAGTGAGGACTGACAGACCTTCTGTCCTTCTGTGCCTTCACTTTGCACTATAAGGCCCAGTATAGCTCCCTGCTCCCACACTTCCTCACAGAGCATTTCACAACGATCACAAGAGACCCATGTGCTGGACTCCAGGGCTCCATGAATGATCTACATGCTGCTGGTCACATTAGCCTTGAAGTCCAACAGAAGTGGCACAGAGCGGGTCTGGACTGCTGCACACAGCTATGATATTGGAAGGAAGTGCAGCCACTGGCCACATACCCTAACTACAGAGAGAAATATTAACAGTAAAAGGCTGACAGGAGCTCCCAGGTACAGCCAGGAGTAAACAGAAAGTCAGGCTAGCATAACCTCTCATGCATCGAACCAAGGGTCAAAATAACCTGGCTTTGCATGGGATTGAGGTGGTGGAGCCTGGTTTGTAGCCTGTGCTTCTTCCCAGCGAGGGGGAAACCACCATAAACGGTTAACTAACAGGAAAGCACCTGAAAAATGTGAAAAGCAGGACAATCTTCTCCAGTGTGCGGCTTCGAAAAGTTTAAACCCGAAACTACTGAACTGATATTTCACGGAGTGAAATGCAGCTGGTGAGAAGCCGATGGTTCCCCAGCCTGACGGAGTTGGCTGGTGCTTCTGGCGCCTGCAGGAGCTGTGGCGAGTGATGCCATCTGCTGGACGGCCAGGCCGCTCCGGGCAGAGCCTCACGCCACCGCCAAGGGACCCGTCACCTGATGATGCTGGAGGAGACAGGCCCATCTGCCCAGGGCCTTCCCACCGTGTGTCTCTTCTCTTGTGTCCCCTTTCCAATCACATCTAGGTCAGGCCAACTGTTCTCTTGTTCAAATGCTCATCACTACCTTTTCCTTGCCCTGGGTCTCTTGTTCAGTGCTGGCGCGTCAGCTCCCACTCGTCCTTAGCAGCCTGTGATCACAGTTTGGGAAGGGGCATGAAGCGATCAGCAGCCCATTTCCAAATAGAAATAGCACGTGCTTCCAAACAGGATGCGCTAGAACTGCACCTACCGCTCCTGACACACTTTTGTCTCACCACTTCTACAGTCAGGAATAAGTGAGATGTCTCACAGCCTGCTCTATCTGTGCCTTTACAGCACATTCCTGAGAGTGTGCTGAGTTTAATTTAAAGACAGGTTTAATTTAAAACATGTCAGAGGAAGAGGTCTGCTCAAATTTTACTAGTAGATTAGGCTTGTATGAGTCTGTCCACATTGTCTTTTGGTGTGACCACTGGATCAGTTTTAGCAGTGAATCATGCCTGTGTTTTGTCTAGCAAGAAATCTAGATGTTCTGCTCCTAAGGGATCCTGGAATGCCAGGCTGGGTAGTGTGAAGTGGTAAGGGACAACGCAGATTTTTCTAACAAACATCTCCTGTTTTAACCCTTAGGTTTCTGTTAGGGCACACTCTCTCTCCTCCAGCAGACCATATGCAGTAAATCTCAAGACAAAGTCAGAGGACTTGTCCTAGGAGACCTGTAAGAGTTGAGCAAGAAAAAAGCCAACAGTCAGCAAATTTAAGTCTACATTTTGTATATTAATCACTCAAGGATCAGCATGTCCAACAGGAAATATTTTAGGGGATAACAAATCAAAAACAAGAATGAAACTCACTGGTGTGAGATGTAAGTAAATTATTAGTGTGGGGTAGATTCACTGGCCATCTGTAGGGATCTGTCCCAGATCCCTACAGCCATCAAGCAATCTCCTTTTTTCTTCTTCTTAGAAGTAAAACATGCCGTGGCCTCTTCCTTTCCCTCAGGATACCAGGTCCCATTCTGGTTGGCTGCTGTTGGCAGCTATTTACTCCCTACCAGGTCTGATAAACTGGCACACTTGACACCTCCCCAGCCTTCTGGTGTTAGAAAGGCAACAGTCGCCTGTGATGGGATTTTCCTATTGCTCTACACACCTGTCTCTCAACGTAGATTTTGAAAAACAAATTTTGAAAAGAGTCCATCTTTCTACTGCATTTACACAATGCCTAGAGCTGGATCCACAACGTGGCTTTCTATGTATTACAATATTCAAAAGATGTCAGACTCATTTTTTTTTTCCAACACTGTTCACTCCTGTTTGTCCTTCCAGTGGTGTGGATGTCAGTGCTCGTGGTGCCCCACAGGGGTTTGGGGGCTGCCAGAATTGGACAGAGGCGAAGAATCATTTTGAAAGTGATTATAAAGCTGTCATTAATGAGACAAGGCAGCTGATGATAGTTTCTAGTTGCAACAAACAGTGACTGAATATTAAATATATTCCTATCCACTGTCATTTCTAATGCAGGGATCTCTGCTATATGTGGCCTCTTTATAGGAGTGTCAGATGCAATTTGCATTACTGCAGGCACTTTCTGTCTCCCTCATTGGAAAGGAGAGACAACAAACCATCTGCTCTGAGGAGTTCAGAGGTCTCCACTGCTGTGTTGAGGGAGATATGTGGGCAGAAGGGTGAAATAGGGTCAGGAGGCAGTACAGGTACTCAGAAGTTCCTGGGAATGGTTTGTGCACCTGTATCACCCTCAGGCTGGAGGTCAGCTGGAATCAGGAGCTCCAGCGCTGTTGTGGTCCAGCGGCCCTGCAACACACACATACCCCTCAACCTGGGAACGTGCAGGAACACAGGAAACACATCGTTTCCCAGAAATGTCTGGGATCGCAGGCCTACATCACCCCCTCACTCTGCTCTGATAGAGCTTTATTGGTTGTCTTAGTGACCGTGTTATACTTGTGGAAGAAATAGCACCAACATAACTACACAGACTTAGAGGTACTGCAGTATCCCCATTCTCACACATGAGCAGCTACCAAGGACGGAACACCTTAGTGCCTACATCTTAACTAGAAAAGCTTATATTGCTTGAGCTACATTGATGCAACTCATCTTCTAAAACACAAATGGCTTTTTGCTGATCCTTCTCTCCGGCAGGCTCCAGCACGGCACTGACAGGGTGATCCTGTTCAGTTAGCAGATGCCTGTGGAACGGCAACGCTTGTTCCACAACCAGACAAGTGACAGATAGAGCCTCTGGCTCAGGCTTATTTGTATTGGTGACATTTACTTTTCAGCAACAGCAATAGGGGAAACACTGTGGAATAATGTCATGTTTAATGGAGTTGTCTAAGCAATAACGAACTGTGGCACCACGAACAGGCTAATTAGCTTCTGCTTTAAAATCATCCTTCAGTCAGATTACTAAAATGTATCATGACGCAACATGAAGCCTGCGTGCTGTTTAAGCCATGTTTAAGCTGTTCTTTATACAGAACGACAATGTACTGGTCACACAGTTTCCTATATTAATATTAATCCCTTTGGTCATTTGCCATGATAAAACTTTTTTTTTTAACTTCTGGATTTGCCTCAGTAGCTTTAGGAGGCTTGACTAAGTGTAGCTTGCAAAGCCCTACCTGGCATAAGTGCGACTTGAGCTGCAGGTTGGTCTGTGCTGGGAAGATGTGAGCCAGTTCTGTCGCGCTCTGGAGAAGCTCTGAGCTCTTTGCACAACTTCAGGGGGTCATAAAGGACACGTATGGACAGGGATGACCTTCTTCCAGGGTGGAGTACTACTGGATTAATAACTGCTGAAGATTCATGTTGCAAGATTTTTTACAGGACTTTACTCATAGAGACATATAGCTATGTCCTATAATAAGGATTTAGCACTTCCAGTGAAATGCCTTATTAAAAAAAAGCCTCTGAAATGAGTGGATTGAATATCTCACATCCGTATTTTGAAGAAGTTAAGCTAAAGGATGAGATAACTGCAATGAGATCATGGTCTTGCAATCGTACATGGATCTCTAATTCTTCTTGCTTATTCCCCATGCTTCGTGCATTGGTGTACAGGCATCCCAAGGAAGTTATTTGAGCATGTAGGTTACGCAGGAGGGGTGCAAGCTGATGCTCCATAGTCACATCCCACACCCACTTCCTGGCTGCAGGCACCTGCTGGAGGAAATCTGACTTGACCTGCCTTTTTCTGACTACCTTATCTCTATTTTTCTGAATACCCTATCTCTTGCTCATCTTCTTGGATGCTACACAGCTTACTGACTTCCCTCCGCAACACTTCTATCTGACAAAACAACTCACCAGCAAGAGTCTTAAGAGCAACCTTATTGAAAATGGCAGCTGAATGTTTCACTATTATGCTTTTTTTCCTCTCCATTTCTGTGGCATCCATATTGCCATGGAGGTCCATCCATGACCTCCATGAAGCAATGGAAGGCAAAGAGAAATCGCCAGGAAATGAATGCAAAGGACTTTTTGATGGCCATCAGCAGAAGAATTAAGCAAATGCCAGCATCTGTTTTGTTGCTTACTGTGTTTAGCACACCTCTGACTACAACATGCATTCACAAAAGCTATTAATTCATACATAAATTCACACATTGGTATCTTGTCAGTAAGGTGTTGTGCTGAGAGTTTGATGTTTAACATCCACTTTAGAAGCCAGAGATGAATTAATCTTTACCCTGACTACCTCTGGCATCACATTCTATCCATCCTTGATCATTTTGCTCAAAGTCATTTTGGGGGATTAAACTTATATACCAACAGGGTACATTAATCAGATAAAAAGAATAACTGATGAAAGAATTTTCAAAATTTAATGTATGCAACATTTACTCTCTGTCATTTTGTTTTCTCTGTGAAAATAGGAACTTAAACTGTCATGAATGTGAAGACCCAGAACAGTGGCTTATGACAGGCTCTTCCTAGTTCATTGAATCAAATCTCATTTCAGGGCCAAAGAGATTCAAGCAGCATCCAACTAACTGGCTTTTATTCCTGTATTCATGTACATATGTTTACCTATTTCTATGGCATCTGTGTTTAAAGTGACCTCCATGAAGCAACAAACAGCAATGAGAAATGGCCAGGAAATTAGTCTGTGATTAGAGCCCTGCAGGCATGGAAGCATTCGCATTTGGAAGGTCAAATCTCTACACCTGAATGCGGACACTTTTTATTTCCGTAAAATTTCATTTCAGCAGTAAGAGATTTTCCTTATGACAGTGAGAAATCTGGAAAAGGATAAAACTGCCCCTTTTTTTACAGGATATAATGTTGCTTTTCATATAAAGGCATAGATTCAGGAAAGGCACTTAGTGTCATCTTGAAGCACTTTTACCTTTCATTTTGGCTTTAGTTTTGAGGTGAACCCAAAAGACCTAGCAATATTATTAAGCTCATCTCCATCCTTGGAGATATTCAAAACTTGAGTGGTCACAGTCCTGGAGAAGCTGTTTAAGCAGTGGGGTTGGGCCAGAGGTTCCTTCCAACCTCAGCTGTGCTGTGATTCTGCGGGCCTCATCATTCTGCGGGCAGTGGAACATTTCCAGAAGTCTGATTTCCTGTAGAGGCTGTATTGATTCTTTTGCACTGAAGTGACTCCTGTTTCCTCGCATGACTATGACATCCTCCTCCTCTTTCTCCCTGCATCTATTCACCCCCAAGGTCTTCTTGCCCTCCCTCACACAGCAAGGGCAAGATGGAGCAGATGCAGCTAGCTGAGAGTGCCAGTTACTTTGCTGGTAAGTGCTCACTAAGCAGTTAGCCAGAAGGACGAATGGATAATTCAAGCTGAAATATTTCTTAACAGTAGGAATATTTTTGATCAGTTCACATGTCCTCCTCCTGTTAGCTCCTAATCTTCAGTAACTAGTCTATTATTTTCCGCAGATTTCTACCCTCAGAAAAAAACTAGTTACAGTTTAGCCAATGAGGGTGAAAGCGGCAGATCAGGGATGACAGTGAAAGAACATGAAGCCACTCTGAAAATAAAAACCATGGGTTCTCTGTCAAGCAGACCCAGGATCTGAAGGCAGATATTTGCTAACAGCAGGCGCACCCTTTAAAGCTACCTCTCTCCGTTCCTCTGGGCAGCCAGTGGGTGAACAGGAAACAGCACCATGGAGAGGGTCACTACCCCACGGAAGCCCTGCATCTCCCAGCCGCACCGCAGAACAGTAACCTTGTCCCGGAAAACTTTAGGTCTTTACAGGTCTTCACCCAACCAAATGTCTTTGCGAATCCTTTCACCATTCCCTTTCTAGTTAGACCAAAACGTAGAGAGAGCAGCAACACTATTAGGGAACCTGCCTTTGGGGTTACGGTGACATGAGGCACAGCAAAAGCAACAGCTCTCCTGCTGATGTGGGGTATCAACAGCTGCTCCCTGTTTATTCAACTAGCAGATACAACTAAGGCAAAGCGTAGGAAAGTGATATAACCCACACAACTCTCTAGCCCCTCCATTCCTCTGTAATAGTGATTTAAATATTCAGCATGTACTATACATGCATGTCATGAGGTTGGTATAAAAATAGGAAGTAATATGGCACATTCTCTAAAAATATTGATATACGTCAGTCTTCATAAATGGTAGGTGAAGTTAAACAGTACTCGCTATTTAACTATAATGACATATTGGGCTCTTAGATGCAGCTCTCCTACTGTTAACTTCACTGTAGCACAAACATCTCACTGACTGAGGTTTATGGAGATCCTGTTGTCTTCATTTGCCAAAAATGACAATCACACCATAACTTACAGTGTCCAAGGCCTAATTTAAAGATTTCAGAGCTACCTCTTTAAAGATGAGGTATCTCTAAAAATGAACCTCTCCTCTATCTCTCAAAAGCTAAAGTTTCAGACCTGGGTACACCTCTATTTAGGCAACGGAACCATAATTACCCAGTTATCATTCTGTGTCCAATTATAAAGCTAGATGCTCCATTTTAGCCAGTCACAACTGAAAATTTGGCTCTCTGTACCAAACTCTGTAGGTCTGGAAGCAAGGGTTTATACTCTCATTTGCTCCTTTTACTCACCATTATATATTTGTTTTTCTGAAAAACTCTTCTACGTATAGAAAATCAGACAGAAATACTATAATGTCTCCACTATTTCCTCCAGAAATTACTCCACTCTTCTAAGTCTCCTGAGGGAGCGGCATGAGCACAGAAGGGTTTGGTGTCCTCCCCGGACATGTGACATACATTCCCATGGCAAGCTGAGGCCAAGAACTCCCATTACCACCCACAAATATTTTAATGAGATCTACATACACATATCACACATGTACAGACGTAAAGCAAAATAAAACACACAACTCCATTATAAAAGTGAAGTACAAAGACATTCATTTACAGTGCAGTAAAGAACAACAAAAACAGCTTAGATCTTTGCAGCACTGCATGTGACATATTACAAATGAGCCCGGTCCCTAAACTGTGACATTCACAGTAAAGTGATGCTGATATCCCTTCTTCTGAAGAACTTCACATCCTCCATAAACATAGGATGGAGGCAAAAATGAGGAGATTAAAAGTGCTTTGGGTCATGAATTATTTGTTTCCACTAGCAGCTATAACGTGTAATATTCAGAAGAACTGCAAAGTGCTAAGCAGACAAAGTGCAAAAAAAAATTCACTTACTGTTTATAACACAATTGCTTTTGTGTATTTCCACTACATAGCACTTCTTGACTGTCCATCCATTAAAAGTTTATCAGCAACTTACGAAGTACAGAAATTACAATTAATTGTGGTAACATAGTGCATAGAAAAAACTCAGTGTATTCTGGTTTCCCTTTTAGAAGATTTCAAGCCTTCGGTACTTCTGAGGTAAAGAAGCCAGAGTGTTTTAAATTATTGATATCAAACTAACATAACACAGGCTCAAAAAGGACTCAAGATTCTCTGTCTCCACATGACGAGCCTCTGAGTGTCCTGCCTGCTGCACTGATGGTCAGAGCGGTGCTTTTCTCTTACCTGTAAGCTAAGCTAAGGCATCTAGTCAATACAGTGAGAGCTCTCCAGGGTATTATTTAAATCGCCTGCCTAGGACATCACTTTCAGATGGGCTGAATCCTTCTCTGGAGGTGTAGCTAGTTCACACTGTTTGCCCAGCTCCTAGACAATTACAATTCTATTATGTGAACCCCACCAGAACATCCAAAAGGAAGTTATTGATATGATAATATCAGGACACTGAGCTACTCCAGAACTTTGCAATTACTGTCTTAGATTTAATTTCCTTAGTAACAAGCAGCAAATATGAACAGTAAAAGAGTGCATAAGCCAATAAGCCCTCTGGCTCTTCTCAGTAGCAGTCACATTGCAGTATCAGTGGTGCCTAGTTGGCCGCTTCTTGGCAGCCTAGCCAACAGTGAATTGCAGAATACCTGTTCTTAAGTCAAAAAAAGACAAGTATTGTCTTATTACACTTGTTAGACTGTAAAAAAGTCTGCAATTTGATCAAAGCAGACCACAGCTACAGTCAACATATAGTCAAGGATTATGCTGTTTCCATGCTAGGTTGGCATGCCATAATGACATCCTATCTGAAATAAAATCCTCTTCAGATTTCCTGAGTAAGATCAGCATGAGGCCAGCTTTTGAAGGATATCACCTATAATGATTTCAAGATAAGGAAATGATAACACATCTATGTGCAAAAGACCTCTGAGATGACAGAATTATACAAACACTGGTTGCTCTCTGTGTCCATACAGACACACAGACGCTTAGGTTTCCCCCAAAGGAAGGCTTATCAGTCTTCATGCAGTGCTACACCTGCAAGAAAAACACCTCATTCACAAGACACAATGTCCCAGACACATAACATTCCCAGCAGGTAAGGTGGCACTTTCCAAAGGCACCTGCTGCTCCCAGTTGTACTAGGCATTAGAAGAAACGCTCTGATGGGGATTCCCATTTTGAGAATCTGTTGTTTTGCTACTGTTCCAGGCTTCATCAGTGTTGGCAGGTGATTTCAAATCTGCTTTGTCCGCCAGTTTGCTGGATTTGGAAGGCTTGCAAAAGAAGCAGAGGAACTTGCAACAGGACAGCAGACCTTCAGAAACGCTGTATGCGAAGAGCTTCTTGCACGGGTGGCAGAACTGGTAGAATACCAGCATGAAGAAGACAGCCATGCAGTAACCTAGGAGGAGCTGCAAGACCAGCAGCGGGGCGCACACGTACAGGTAGGTGTCGGTTCTATAGATGTACCACATCAGCAGGAGCAAGGCATTCTCAACGAACCGCAGCATATAATACACAGTCAAGCGGTACCAGTTTTGGGATTTACTAATTAAGTCAGGGTTGTTGAGGTTCAGTTGCACTGCCGACCAGCAGAACATGTTAATGCCAGCATACAGGAGGGTGAGGAGGCACAATGCGATGGTAGTACCAAACCTGCTCAAGGCCTTCTCTATGTTCTCAGGAAACGGGGACTTGCTTTGGCAGAAGAGAATCCAGGGATAAAAGAAAAATACAAACAAATTCACCAGCACAACAGGGAGAATCCAGATTTGAAGGACTGAACTGAAAAGGACCAAAACTATCACCCGTGTAGCAATCTCGAAGCTTCTCCACAGGAATATGCAGAGGTAGGCAGCTGGTTTCACATTGACATCGTAATCATCGTACTTGATCTTAATAGCCAGGATGTTGCAGCGTAAGGCGCCGTATACAATTGACAGGAGAGAAAGGACCATAAAAATGCCTGCAAAGATAAAAGACAAATCAGATCCTCCAGCTTAGCAGAAGTTAAAGGCATTGCAATCACAGTAATGCAGATAGTCTTCATGACATAATACCAAAAGACCCTTTCATTGTATCTACTCCTGGATAACACTGCCTCCCATTTTCTCCATCCTTTGTTACTTTACCAAGAAGATACAAAGCAAAAAGGCACTGAGCAATCAGTGGCATCTCCCCCCACCCAGGGCAGTTTGTACAAATACTGTATTTGGTAATTACACAGCTCAATCATAAGGATATACAAGTTAGTCTCAAACTTTAATATGATTCTTACAGTACCCCACATCACAAAAAAACCTATTCACTCTGTGTACCAATGTACAGAGAGACAGAAGCTGAAATTGTTAAGAATTATGTGGGCGTGCAGATATCGTGCTTATGAAGTACCAAGTTGAAGCAACTTGTCTGAGCACACACACGAGACCTGTGATCGAGTTCAAAACTAAAAGTCAAAGCCTGCAGTCGGAGGCCAGAAGTTCAGATCCAGAACTGTTTTCACTTCTGCCTGTGTAGGCAGTTGTTTGCTCACGTGGCTACAATACCTTGTACCTACCGATATCATGCTTTAAAAAGAATCCATAAAAAAAAAACAAACTTAAAGTGTAGATCATGTAGTTCTCCAACATCGCCTTTCAGCACCTCCCATTGGCCTAGAACTCCTCAGGTGAAGAGGTGCTGTTGCTTCTAAGTTCAGTAGCAAGTGACTGCTGAGCCGCAGTCATGACCTGCCCTCCAGCCTGGCGGAGGGGGAGCCTCATGGCACTGGAACAGGGTGCTTGCTTTGCCCTAGATGGGCTCACACCATCGTCCCAAAGCTCTTGGGCACATTTAACAGCAGGTCTCCCAGCCAAGAATCAAAGAGAAACAGGGACTAGAGCTCTGGATGGCCATGTCACAGCAAAGATCTTACAACCTTCTGGCTGAAGGCTGCCTTTTTTTCCATTGAAGCAGTACCTCAAACACAAATGAGTTCAGTACAATAAAAATGATCCAGCAGTTTCTTTCAAAATTTGAATTAAAGTAATGAAGCTAACTGGCCATGCTATAGAGCATTACATTGCATCAGACAGAAGGCAGAGCTGGCAATGCTTGCTTATGTCCACTACTTCAAAGTAGGGCTTAGCAAGCAGGGCTGTCTGCAGCATTCTATTAGTGTGCGTGTGTCATTAGCCTCCGAATGAACTGGATTCCCTGCCTTGCTATATTATTTAACTATAATTAACTATTTACTATATTATTTAACTATTTAACAATGATTATCAGTTTTTCCTAGTTAAAGTTATTAATCCCTGAA